ACACACACACACACACACACACACACACACACACACACACACACACACACACACACACATATATATATATATATTTGAATTTATATTTGTATATAATGTACATATTCATATATGTATATCCTATATGCGGTATTCACATGCTTGTGCTTGTATTGTCACCCATTCAGGATCGTCCCCAAATCTGGGAGAGGCTCATCACCACCGTGCAGGATAGCAGTGCCACCATTACCTTCCCCTTGAGTAAGCGCATGGATCAATGCACCGACAACGCCGACCTTTTTGCACACGCTGGATGCAATCTGTTTACACAAACACCCGAGATCAAGAATTGGTTGGTGGATTTGTACCCGGACCAGGCGTTTATTATCGGGGCGTATGCCTATCTTGACGGAGAGGTATGTATCACTTACATTCGCATATCATTTATTGTATAGTTTTTCTTGTACGCACATAGTGTTTATTTTGTACATTCTGTTACATGTACATAGCGTTTGTTAGGTAGTTAATGCTACATTACATGGACATAGTGTTAAGAGTACTGGCTGACATTCGATTACAGACAGATACAGTGCACGTGGTGCATTTTTCCACGAGTTTGTGTGTACTTTCAAAGCTATTGCAGTGGATATCTGCCAATGATGTATTCTGACTATGTACTTTACTCAGTCATCTATATACTATACTTCAACAAAGGGATTTACACTTTAACGATAACCACGCGATGCTTGACCATGAAGTCAGCTGAGCCTCCGAAACTTTAAAAGGTTAACCTACATCGTTCCTCTCTCTATCTGCTTTTGATATACCCGATGTACGTTCAGATATAATAATACCCAACAACCATACTTTGATTTTCGTTCATCCGTTCTATCTGTATGTGCTACTTCCTACTACCCGACCATAAATTCAAGTGAACCTCACGGAAGCTTGCAATGAATATACGCTACATCATCCTACTCTCCTCACACTATTCTCCTTCACTTTATCTCTATCTCCCACATACAGCTCCACGTCCGTGTGTCGCTTGCCATGGACGCCATCATCCAGGGTGTATGTGCTGCTCGTAAGGATTGCAACTTAGCCTATCTGAACACCCCCACCCAAGTGTATGTGGTACCCAAAGAGCCGGCCGTCGAATCTTTGCGCCGGTACAAGGAAGCCAGTTTCATCAACAAATTCTTCGGATTCATGAATGTGGCGTCTGGAGGAAAATTCTGTAAGCCTCAGGTACGTATATATAGCGTATTGTATGGTCATGTATGTGTGTCTGTGTGCGCGGCGGGCTATCACTGGAAGTATGCCTCGAATTGCAGTTGGTTGGCGCGTTGTGCACATGTGTATGATATTATCCAATCTTTGTGGTGGAATACTCTAGACCCACTACTGAGATACGGATGTGCTCCCTTTCTACTGCACATAGTGTTAGCGGTTGATTGATCGGTTGTGCATATACGGCTTGCTGAGATTCAAGTGATGGTGCCGTCATTACTTTCCTTATCACAGGTATTCCACATATGAACATATCTTATATCTATATTCATATATACCCTCACTCGTTGTCCGTCACAGAACTACGGGAAGCCAGTTACTAACGCCAAGGGGGAGACCTGCTATATATTCAATGGAGTCGTAGACCCCCAGGGACCCAACTACGCTCTGGCAAAGAACTTGCAGTTGTGGCGTGCTGTGGTAGAGAAGTCTCGAGGACATGGTATGTTGGTCGCAGTTTTGTGTATAAATACATACCCTTTAACTATTGAACATGATGAATACGGAGTATACACTTTCACCATGTGTGAGAGCCTCCTGTGATCCAGGAATATCTTATTACACCCCCATTCCCATCATGGCCACTGCTCTAATTAGACCTTTTCAACACTGATACAGTATGGTCTCATGTAAGTTACACTTATACACACTCAGTTACACACCGTGCTTCATTTGACTACATCGGCTATTGCTCCCGATCTGATTTTCAAACTCGGATACAGCATGGTCCCATATGATAGCCGTCCCCATACACAATCAGGGCTCAAATCTAATTGTACATTCGACTGCTTTTGATTTTTATAGGTACCGCTTATTCAATGTTGTTACCTAAAACAGGACGATACTTGGAAGTCCTCCCAATACACATTCAGTGTTCTAACGTTCTTATTGCATCTAACAGGAGTGTCGAGTAACATAGCACCGTCCACAGCCACAGTATCTGTTGTGAGCAACAAATCATTCGCTTGGGCATACGGCGGCTATTCGAGCTTTGAGCCCATGGAGATCTTCCAGCAGGAGACCTCCAACGCAGTCATGTATGTGATTCCTACTCGTATACTGTATAAATTGAGTGCCTGCGGATGTATATACACAAAGGGGTATATAGATATATATATTTGCTTATTTATATACAGCCTCCGTTGTGAGCAATCGATCGTTCGCTTAGTCGTACGGCGGCTAAACGCGCTTCGAGCCCATCGAAGTCTTTTACTGCGGTGGTAACACAATTTGCGCTATGCGTATAGTTACCTGTGTGGCCTTCAACGATTGGGCGTGAATTCATTCGGATCTACTTCGATACCGTTTATTTTCTACTAATTTAGTTGTACCTATCTAGAAATCAGCATAGACAACCGCTCGCCCTCAAATTAGCGTTCCATGTAATAATACACTCCATTTACCAAATTTCATATATAAATCTCACGCTTTTTATTTTCCCATACACTCTTAGGTGCGCACTGCTTATTAACGACGTCAGGAACGAAGACTGTAACGCGTCACCAAGCAAGAAACTGGACCACCCATGGGATCTGTTCAAGGACGGGTCTTTCCACGGAGGCATGTGGCGCATGGGCTACTCCATGAACAGCACGGGCGAGACTGCTGCTATAGTATACTTCCTCGGAAAGCTGGCACCAATTATCATCTCGTTCATGGTGTGTTTGATCGCAGTTCTGGCAATGTACGCAAGGGATGCCTACTTCAGATAAGGGAGAAGTGTATAGAAACAAGTAATAAAGCTCGGTTAACCCGCTGGCGCACTAAACTTCTTCGGTACACTCGAACCGATCATATACTATTGATGGCTATGGTGTGCTTAGATACTGTTTTGATATTGTATGCGGAGGATTATAATGATTCAAGATGCGCTGTTCACAATAGCAGGCAATGAAATCGGACAGACACTGGCAAGCGTATAGAAGAACTTCTATTACAAGCATGTTTCCGACATTTAGGATCCTAGAATGGTCAAAAACTTCGTTTTCGAAACAAGCTATAAGACGTTTGCGCGCAGTACGCCACCCTCGATTCCAATAGTCAAATCATAGCAATCACTCTCGTGTGGCATAGACATGTCTACAATAGTACTGGATCTCCAAGCAGTTTGTTTGTCAGTGTATCTACACCCACCGCCACACATCTGTAAACATATACATACATATATACATACATACACAAAAATCATGTATATACATACATACACATACAAATACGAACACACACACGCACACACACACACACACACACACATATATATATATATGTACTAAACATTACATAATATATATG